ATATATATATATATATTATTTAGAAGGCAAATGCCAAAAAGTACAATAGAAGTAGTTGAAATGTTTACATCTTGGGAAATTTGAGGCTGGGATAAACATTTCAGGGCTGAAAAGACAGAGATATTAAGGCCTTGGAAATGGCCATGGTTGATGTGACCCTGGAGCACAAAGCCAGGAGTAGCTCAGGCGTCACTGAGTGAGTGTGGTCAACACCCCCCCACCACCACCCCACCCCCGATGCCTACAAAAAAAAAAAATGACTGTTGCTTTTCTTTGTAGACTTCATGTGTTGCTTGATATTCTGATGACCACAAGTACTCTAATTTTTTTTTAATCATCGTGGAAAAAAACTTTTGATTTACATTTTTGTCTTCACACTCAACTAGAACCTCTTTTAAGAAATATGTTTCTCGGGGGTATGGTGCCGCCAGCAAGTCAATCTGTACCTTGAGACAAGTGCATCAGCAGCCTGATGTCACCATCAGACTTTCAGATACCCCAAAATTGCTGCTGCGCCTTTGGCCAGACCCCAAAAACTTGGGGCCAAGTTTACCAAGAAAGCAAACAGCCAAAAGTTAGGTATGTGGGAGACACACACACAAACCACCTCCGGCTCAGCTATATAATTGGAGGCATGGCCTCTCTGGTTCCTGATTGTACTGCTTTATTAAGGCCATGATCCCAGAGACTCAGAAACCAATCTCGGAACCCAAAAGCTTTCGGCAGAAATGCATCCTGTTCCTGCAGTAGGTTACTGGCGCTGGGCCACTCCAGGTGGGAATAGGTTTCGTGCCTTGGCCTGTTCTCTTTGGTGGCCTGGTGACCAACATCCTCCAGAGGACACTGGACAGTCAGGTTTGGGCCTGCAGTGACGAGACACGCGGGGCCTCACCAGATGGCTCCAAAGGCAAAAGGACTTAACCCAGAGCCTGGCAGCTTGCGGCAGAAAAGTGAACGGACCATTCGTTAAACTACAGCGCCATGCCTCCCTGGGAAGGAAAGGGTGTTGCTCCCTTCTGCCTTCCCCACCCCTCCCCCGCCCAGCAGCAAGGTAGCCGCCACCTCAGAGATTATAGGAAAGCCAGGTATGAGCTGGCGGTAAAGGGGCAACTGCAGTCTCATGGGAAGGGGGATGGTACCAGCTCATCCTTCACGCCCTACTGAAGTCACGAGTTGCCCCCCACGAGCGGCTCTCTGGCACAGCCATAACACCAGACGCACAGAAACCAATCTCATAATTATCTGGCTCTTTGCAGAAATCCAAAATCACGAGGCCGCTATTGCGGCCATGCAAGATTATATGATTCTCATAACCAGCTATAGAAACAAAGTATTTCACAATGCCTTTTCAGCAATTCTAATTGTTGGGGGGGAATTCTAAACAATAATGGTGCATCTTTTGTCGAAATTATGAATGTAATCAATGTAGAGAAGAGTTAAGTGGAAATCATCTGCCTCACAGGCATTGGGAGGGGTGGGAGGGGGGTATATTTTGGGGTTCTTGGTGGCGGAAAATGAGTACTGGTGTTTGATCATTGTATGACCGAGACTTAAACCTGAAAGCTTAGTAACTTTTCCCACAGTGATTCAATAAATAAATATAAGAAAAATAAATAAAATTATGGAAAAAAAAAGTAAGGTGGGGTCCATGCCCAATTCAATCAGCTATTCAGTGGCTGAATAAATAGCAGTACTCCTACATTAAAAAAAAAGAAGAAGAAAAAAAGAAAAAAAGAAATATGTTTCTTCTGGGGCCAAAGAGATACTATAGCAATTAGGGTACTTTCTTCACACCCAAGTTTGATTCCCAGAAACCGATATGGCCCACCGAGCTCGCAGGAGTCCTGAGTACTAAATGTATGCCTTCTCTTTATTAAGATCAGCTTAAAAGTTTTAAGTAATGCTGCCAGCTTCTCACAATAATTAAACATTTAGTTTTAACTGAAATGTATTTTACACAATTTGAGAGATATATTCTTTAAAATCAGGAAACTCTGGTTTCACTTTCCTATAAATAAAATAAAATAAAAATAAAAATAGTGGTCTACATATACTGGCTCAGGAGCCTGGAAATAGCTAGTGAGGACTGAGTAAGGATTCTAGAACCTCCAATCCTGTTTCCACTAGACCAGCTCTGCTCTATTTGCCATATCTGACACAAGACTAAGAAGAGTTCCACTCATTTAAAACATTTAAAATCACTGGCATAAGAATCTGGAAAAAACCTGAGTGCCCGAGAACAGATGACTGGTTAAAGAAACTTTGGTACATCTATATAATGGAGTACTATGTAGCTGTTAGAAAAGATAAAGTCATAAAATTTATATACCAGTGGTACTACATGGAAAGTATCATGCTAAGTGAAATGAGTCAGAAAGAGGGACAGACATAGAAAGATTGCATTCATCTGGGGAACATAAAGTAACAAAATAGGAGACTAACACCCAAGAACAGCTGAGATAAGTATCAGGAGGTTTACTCCATGGCTTGGAGGCCAGCTGCACATGCTAGGGGAAAAGGCAGCTCAGAGGGAGAAGGGAGCACCAAATAAAGGGTGTTGGGAGGATCCTCCCAGGATGGGAGAAACATGCTGAAAGTAGACTATAGACCAAACATGATTGCCACTCAATGCCTCTTTTGGAAACCACAGCACCCAAAAGGAGAGAGAGAACAAAAGGGAATGCCCTGCCACAGAGGCAGGGTGGGATGGGGGGGACAGGGGATGGGGGGGTGGAAGGGATCCTGGGATCATTGGTGGTGGAGAATGGGCACTGGTGGAGGGATGGGCACTTGATCATTGTATAACTGAAACCCAAGCACAAAAATTTGTAAGTCTACAACTGTACCTCAAGGTGTTTCGCTAATAAAAATTTTTAAAAATAAATAAATAAATAAATCACTTAATCACTTAAATAAAATCACTGGCATAATAAGGACAGCTGAGTTTGAGCAGTGAATCAGATTTAAATCAAGTTTAGTTTAACATGTGTTCTGTCTGCCTTTTTAATTTACAAGGCCAGGGAGATAACTCACATGGGCGACAACTTACATGGTACAGTACATGCCTGTCACATACAAGGTGAGCATACATAGCACTGCATTAACACCAGGAGAACACGGTGCAGAGTGACTCAAGCAAAGCTGAGCGGACTCTGGCGCTCACCCCCAGCACCACAGGCCATGTCAAACCCTGCCAGGAGTTATTCCAGGCCCCTGAGCACTGACAAGTGTGGTCCCAATTAAAAGTTATTCTTAAATAATAATTTAATATACAAGCATTAAATGCATATAAACATCCAAACTGTCCACCTCTCTTTTAAAAACCTTGCAACAAAGAGACCACATACCTAAGTCCGTTTCACCTATCTAGTGCCATCACAACTGGCAACTGTGCATAGAAGTAGGATTCCATGCAAAAGAAACAGCACAGAACTGTGGAAAAACAAAACACTAAACTAGAACTGTTCAGATGCAATAGATATGTCAGATAAAGTAAACAAATAACCAGGAAATCAAGTGGCTTAATACACCAAAACAAATTTCTACCTAGCATATGTCCAGCAGGAATATGTATGATTCTGCTCTACAATGTCCAACAAGGGACCCAGGTTGGCTGAGGCTCTAACATCTTCAGTATCACTAGCTGGAGCAGAAAAGAAGAATCAATTTCACTTCTTTACCCCTAAGTGACACTGGTCACTGTCATATTTTATTGCCTATAAATAATCAAATGGTTTCAATTAATTAAAGAACTGGGAAATCTAAGAGAACAAATGGAATATTAGGGAAGCATACACAATCTGCAGTAAACTAATTTTCTCAGTCTTTGTTAGACATATGAGACCATCTTCTTTTTCAAGATTCTGAAGAGAATCAAATGAAATAACATGCATTAAAGAATTCTGACAAGCTCTAAGGAGTTACACAAGCTTAAATGGATCAGGGTGGAATTAACCTGTCGTCACCTCTACACACATACCCTTGCAGAAGGATAAGTCAAAATACATATTCTGGAGGCCACAGAATTTAATGCTGCTTTTGTTTTAACTATACCAGTCAATCCACCTGTGTTCAAGGGACCTCACTACCCCAGTGTCTTGCTAGTCTAGATCAAATAATTAAACTGCATGTGGAAGATTTTATTTTCCTGCAACATCTTCCAACCCACATAGTCTTGTTTAATGTAACCTTAACAGTTCTCTCATCACCTGGTAGGGGCTATGTATCCTTCCTTGAACTCAGGGAGACCTTGGTGGCTACTTCAAGAATATGGGAGAAGTGATGTTAAATGAATTCAAAATTAGGCATAAAAGCACCATGCACTTCTCTTGTTCTCTAGAGAAGCTCATTCTTAGAAACCAGTTGCCAAGCAGTCAAGCTGAAATAAGCCTACATGAGAGACTACACCAAGAGGACACAAATGCTGCTATCCTACAACTACCTGAGGTTTCAGTTGACACCCCAAATCGACCTCCAGGCGGGTGAATAAAAACACCTGATATTGACTCAGTAACATCAATAATATTGAATTACTATCACAAAACAAAGTAAACCAATAGTTACGAATTATTACATCTCAAATATACACTAAAAGAAACAATTTGGGGAAACATTAAGGCACCGTAATGATAATAATTCAATAGGCAAAAAGAAACAAAATAAAATAGGTAAGATAGAAGTTTATTTCTCCTTGAAAGTTGAGACAGGCAATTCAGGGATATTATCCTTCCTGGAAGGAACTCAATCTCTACCACATTTCTATTCACCAAAACCAAGGGATCCATTCCAGAACACAAGACAGCTGTTCAAGCTTCATCTATTATATCTACATTTCAGCTAGCAAGAATGAAAAATAGGAGAGGAGATAGGTATACCCCATTCTTGTAACATTACTTCCTGAGCGCAGAGTCAGGAGTAACCCCTGAGAATGCCAGGTGTGACCCAAAAAGCCAAAAAAAAAAAAAAAAACCCTGGGACTATTCTTTATTGAGATTATTTCTGTTGCCATGGCCTAATAAGTAAGATGCCATATAGACATATCCCACCACATGCATACTTCAAAATTCGATTTACAATTTGTTCAGGAGTGCAAGGGCAACTACAGCATAACTATCTTAAAAACTCTAGCAATGTATTCTCCGTTAAACTTTCAACTCTGGAGACTGATATTAGATCTTTCAGATTAAACAAAATCAAGTCTTTATACAGCATCAACTTTTCTTACTGGGAGTATAATTAAAATAACACTCTAGCATTTACGAAATCAACAATCCCTCAAAAAGGAAGTATCTCCTTTTTACAGAAATATTTCCTGTAAAAATAGCAATATAGCCCAGTGAGCCTTCCCATGTTTCCCTGGGAAAGGAATAAACTAAAATCTAAAGTTCTGTCTTATTATATTTAAGTAGGTTCAACCTGTAACAGGTTTTCATGAAGATTAAATGCAATTACACATGTGAAAGTGTTTCATAAACAGGAGTTTTATATAAATATAAAGTTATGCACCTTCAAAGCTATCACTCCAATAAAGACACTGATTCAACAAAATGAAAATCTTTAAAAAATTTTAACAATGTATAAATACACATAAAATCTATATGTAATAGTCCAACAAAATTTATATACACTTACAACAGAATTTAAATGCCTTTAACAGTTCTACTGTATAGTTATTGCTTTCTAAAAGAAATACCATTGATACAAATGCATGATTTATAATATCCCAATTATAGCAAGAAAAATAGATTCATAAAATGTTTCTGTGGCACTATGCCAAATATTACAACTATGCTCAATATGACATAAGAAAAATACTCTTTTAGTGGTAAAAGATAGAATTCATTAGGCCAAGGACCACTCAAGAGTTTCTAGGAAGTTTCAAAGTAAAATCGGCTTTCTTTTCAAAAAATACAAAGAACAGCAGCAGTCTCTAGGTATCCCTTAAACCAAACCTATGAAAAATCCACTTGCATACTAAGCCTTAACTATATAACTTTGTTACAAATGAAAATAAATAAAATGTTTGAACTAGCTAACACAACTGGACCAAATTTTGTTTTCACCAGCCTGTGGATGACTAGGATGAGAACTTTCACCATGTTTTACATACATTAAATCGTAACATTAACAATTACTTCACACTTATAAATAAATCAAAGTGCTCATTCTTACCATAAAAGCAAAACTTTCTTCTGAAAATATTCTATTAGAAATAATATGTAAACATAAAGACTTTTGAGACAGCCCGAGAACACATTCTATGTTCTAGGGATCAAAATGCAAAGGTCATTGTTATATATGTACACAAATACACACTCACTAATTTGACATATATGGTTATTACATGACTATACATATACAAATTTATGCCATGAATCAAAGATTGACAATTTTTCTAACAGAACTATACTTTCAAGCTAGAAAAAATTTTTGAAAAAAATTTCTTGTGAACTTTTAAAGTGGAAAAACAAACCAGTACTCTTCTTGACAACAATTTACTAAGCTCTAAAAGGTTCAGTTAAGAATCTCTTCATTTATTTCCCAAATGTAACGAAACACAAATTTTCTCAGTCTTCATGAAGTCTGATCATCTCCAGTGCTCTGCAAAAAAGAGAGAACTCCTTATTTTAAAAATTAGGAACACATTCCATAATCCTAAGAAAAGGTGACTACTATATTCAATGATTCAATCACATTACATAGCTGCCATATTGAAGAAATAAAACAAAGGATCCATCAAGATAGCCAGCATCTCACTCTGATTTTTGAAGTGTACTACAAGGTGACATATCATTCCCCCTACTAACCACTATGCAGGCTCTGTCAGACTCAAGATTCAATTTCACCCACATTCAACGTCTTTCACCATTAAGGATAAACATGACAGTTATATAAGCAGTCATTTTGGGATCATGCTGAAATCCCTCAGAATTTCTGAGAATTGGTCTCTACAACCTGTATAGGACAGTATAGGTTAGTTAAGCCCCAACTCTGTAAATCCCAATTTTATCTATTCTTAAGAAATTAATCTTTTAGAGCCTGAGTTATCTAATGTAATCCTTGCACCAATATTAGCATCATTAGAAAACTGTTAAAAATGTGAACTGAGACACCGCCCCAAATCAGCTTGTGAAAAGCTCTATTGTTATAACCTAGCAATCTGTAATTCATTTTTTTTCTAGGTGATTCTGATATATGTCCAAGTATGAAAACCACTGTCCTAAAAACATTACTTGTCCAATTTTCAACACAAGGCTGTAAAATCTTATTACTACAGACTTATCAATGTACTCAAGAGATTAAACTAATAACTACCTATAAAAAATCATCCTCTCACTTAAAATCCTGATTTAAATCACTGTAGAACTAAAGTAAAACCTCTACGTTCTGAAAAATAAATAAGAACATTTTAAAACAATCTTCAATGATACAGATGTATATTCTAATGTTTATTTAGAACCACTTTAATAAAAAGCAACTTAACTAAGGGTAACCTTATTGTTGCTTGAGCGGGCCCAGTAACATCTCCATTGTGACCATTGTTACTGTGTTTGGCATACTGAGGAGTTTGCCAGGCTTTGCCATGCACGCGAGATACTTTGGGTAGCTTGCCAGACTCCCCGAGAGGGGTGGAGGAATGGAACTCGGGTCGGCCATGTTGGCTGCTTGCAAGGCAAACACCCTACCCGCTGTGCTATCATCCATGAGTTTACTCCTATAGTTTTCAAATAATTTCAGGATACCGACAATACATTATTAGGATGTTCTACAAGCCCCCCCAAAAAAAAATAAAATAACCTTGTTATTTTGTATTTAAGTTCTTTAAAATCTTACTTTTTAAGTATTTCATAAAAACAAACAGATTTTTTTTAAATCACTAACCACATTAAAATTATACTCATGTCCAGAAAACACTTACTCGTCTTAAAAACTGCTTTCCAAGGTAAGAAGTTGCCATACTGGTTAAATTCTTTCTGCTGCCCACTTTGCACCTGATATAGCCATACAGGTTTGCACCCTGGAGCACCACACCCATGATAACCACTGCCTGGGATAGAGAAAAAAATAAAGGTTACTGACTAAAAGTAATTGATCTTTCCCTAGCCACAAATGTAATGAAGGAGATAAGGAGGTACTGCAAAGTGAAGACTGCCAATGAGATGCCCTAACTCACCACAATAGACCTATTCAATTTATGCTCTGCATAACATATGTAACCTATCCAGTATGGGGTGGGGAGTTGGGGGGGGGGAGGGGGGTGGCGGTGCACGTGAGGATCAAACCTGGAAAAGGCCATATACAAGCCAAGCTCCCTACCAGCTATACTATCTCTCTGGCACCTCTTATTCCATTCTTACATAGGCACACATTTGCAGCCCTGGCTGTCTAACTGAAAATAAGCTCGTTTTACCCATGGTACCATCCCAACCTTTAGGTTATTAAAGGGATGATCTCCTACACTCACAAAACTCAAAACAAATAACCAACTCCCAATCAGCAGCTTGGGAGAGCTGAGAAGTCCCACGAAGAAGACATACGGATGGCCAGCAGGCAAATGAAAGTGTTCATCATCTTTAAATATCAAGAAAATTTCAAGATGAATTTAGCTCTATTCATCTATTCATCATCACTACCTCCACAATTAAAAAAACAAAAAAACAACAACCTCTCCCATTATGTAAGATAAAAGAAACAGTAAATAAGAACAACAAATGGTAAGTCGCTGGAACTGAAGATTTTGTCTACAGAACTCATCTCATGGCTGGGGGTGTGGGTGGGTGGTAGTGACCCTGGGACACTGGTGGTGGGAAGTGGGTTCTCTCATAATGGACGTGGTACTGAAATAATGTATGCATAATTAACAGTATTATAAAACCCAGTACCTCAACAAAAGCGGTTTTAAAACAGAGAAAAAGAAAATATTATCTTCTAAAATGTAAGGGAAAGAAGTTGTGACACGAATCAGCCAAGTCAACATTTAAGAAAAGAGCAAGAGGAAAATAATATATTTTGGAAAAAGAAAAAAATCACCCAAAATAAAATTTAGCCTGTTAGGAAGAAAAGGAAGAAACATGCAACATCAGGAGTATATTATATATTTAAAGACACAGTGATTCAATAAAAAAATTTATTTAAAAGGAATAGGAGCAAATATAAAAGTGGTCTTTTCATTCTCATTTATAGTCTGTAATTCAAAAAACCAATAGAGATGAGGGGCCAGAGCAATAGTATAGCAGGGAGGGTGCTTGACATGCACATGGCCAACCTGGGCTCAATCCCTAACATCCAGTATGGCCTTCAAAGCACTGCCAAGGACTAATTCCTGAGTGCAGAGCCAGGAGTGACCCCTGAATATCGTTGGGTGTGGCAGGAAAAAAAAATGGATGCAAGAAGACAGGAAAAGCAGGAGAAAATATCAGCACTAACTTTACCACATTTAATTGCAGGCAATTATTTTAAACAGTTCTTCATTGATTAAAGAGGGTATAACACAAACATACAAAATAGTAAGAGCTAGAAAAACTAGAACAATGAAAATGGACGATCAATTTTCCAACTCTACCACAACAGTATTCATGTTTATGCACATACACAGAAAAGGGAAATCTATATAGCACAATAAACACTTTTAAAAGGGAAATACAATAAAGGCCAAAATGTATCTTACATCGATTTGCTCGAGTAAAGGCCCTCCCGTTGATCATCGATTTGCTCGAGCGGGCCCAGTAACGTCTCCATTGGAGACTTTGTTGTTACTGTGTCTGGCATATCGAATACATCACGGGTGGCTTGCCAGGCTCTGCCGTGTGGGCGAGATACTCTCGGTAGCTTGCCGGGCTCTCCGAGAGGGGCGGAGGAATCGAACTCGGGTCGGCCATGTTGGCTGCGTGCAAGGCAAGCGCCCTACCGCTGTGCTATCGCTCCAGCCCTTATATATGTTAAATTAAATAAACTCATGTATTAAAGAATTAAGACAGTTGGGGTTACAATACAAAGAGAACACAGACACCTAGGAGCGAAGGAGAGAGGCCCCAGACTACACAACTTTACCCACAAACTGATGGGACTTTCAGAAGCTCTGCTGTTTCAGTGACCAAGTATGTGGTACTTTATTATGGCAGCCCGAGCAAACAAATATAGTAAAAAAAGACCAATCAGCTTGCTAGCTGAAACCCTCCAGTAGTCTAACTGCAGGAAGCCACCACGCCTTGAAAAAGCCCAAACTAGCAACATAGAAAAACGAGGTCATGAAATCTCCCAGAGATGCCTTAAGAGACCCCACATACCAGCTGTTTCCTGTCAGAAGACACCAAGCCAAACCTCATAAACAAGCCCTATCCTAGCTCCTAAACTAGAGAAACTTGTGAGAGATTATAAAATGACTATCATTAACTCATTACAGTTTGAAAAAATTATATAAGCAAAAGATGATCAAGATAGGTTCTAAATTCCCAAAGACTACTATGGGATGGGGGGAGAGTAAAGGAGGGAAGGAAACTGGGGACACTGGCAGTGATATATATATATATATATATATATATACAAGGTGAAGGTGGAGCGATAGCACAGCGTTAGGGCGTTCGCCTTACAAGCGGCCAACATGGCCGACCCGAGTTCGATTCCTCCGCCCCTCTCGGAGAGCCCGGCAAGCTACCGAGAGGATTCGATATGCCAGACACAGTAACAACAAAGTCTCCAATGGAGACGTTACTGGGCCCGCTCGAGCAAATCGACGATCAACGGGAGGGCCTTTACCTTACCTTACCTTAAGGTGAAGGGAAGGGTGTTGGAACATGGTATGACTGAAACCCAATCATGAACAACTTTGTAATTGTGTATCTCACTGTGACTCAATTAAAAAATAAAATGTAAAAGAAAATGTAAAAGAAAAAAAAAAGACTACTATTAGCACCAAACTAACCTAAAGATATTTGACTAAAATTTAATGAGCATTCCTATCCAGGATGTTGTAAATAGGATCATCTCTGTACAAGGTAGACTAAATAAAAATTCTAATGCTAGGCACTTTACAATTGCTAAAATGGTATCAAGACATACTCATTAAATAAAGAAATGCAGAGTTGGGGAACAGGATTAAGGAAGTACATGGTGAAGCTACCTTTTCAAAATGTATGGTGGCACTGTCCTCCCATTGTTAATTGATTTGCTCGAGTGGGCACCAGTAACGTTTCCATTGTGAGACTTCTTGTTGTTACTGTGTTTGGCATATCGAATACACCACGGGAAGCTTGCCAGGCTCCGCCATGCGGGCGGGATGCTCTCGGTAGCTTGCTGGGCTCTCCAAGAGGGACGGAGGAATCGAACCTGGGTCGGCCACAGAGAAGGCAAACGCCCTACCTGCTGTGCTACTGCTCCAGGCCCAAAATGTATTGTAAATGTTAAAATTGTTATAATTATTTTAATTATAATTACCCATCAGACATGAATTTGTTAATAATTCTATATTGATACTCACCAACCACTTTACTCTGAAAGAGAAGAGAGCAGTAAAGGCAAATACCACCCACAGCACTGGACAGACAATAAGTCCTAGCCAAAAGATCCTTGACTCTGCTTCTGAAACGGTTTTACTCTCTTGAGAAGATGCCTACGAAAGAACATGAACTTAATCACTGCATTTATAGTATTTTCCAGTAAAAAATTTAAAACTTTTAATGAAAAACATCTTACCCTCAAATTCAAATTAATGAATCCAAGTCCTAAATTAGAACATTTATTATTTAATTTTAGTAACGAACTTTAGTGTACTTTAAAGAACTTTTTTTAAAAGCTGGACCAGAGATAGCTCAAGTGGTGAGCTCTGATTCCCACCCGAGCATTTCATACCCCCTAAGCAGTGCCAGCTATTATCTGTGTGGCCCTTATAACCTAAGCACTAGCCCATAAAGTCCATACTGCTGCACCAAGCAACATCCTGGAGAGTCTCCAGCTCCCTATACCCCAGCACTGCTGGGGAAGATCCCTATTATACAAGTATTTTTGAAAGAATATTGCATTTTCAAGATAATCTGTCATGATTAAAACAATAAAGATATTTTCTGAGAAACTTTAGTTCTATTTTTATTGCACTTATATAATTTACTCTTAAGAAAAAACTGAATTAAAAATCAAGGCTATCATTAGCCCAGAAACTAAATGTCTCAATCAGAGATTTAAAAAAAAACAAATGAAAGTGAGGAATTCTGTACCAGTGGGCACAATGTCCAACACAAGAAATTTGAAAGACTTGTAAGTCATTTTCAAGGTAGATTTTAACAGAAAGGGATATGCAGTCATTGAACATAACGTTCCTTTGAAAGGGTAACTGTCAAGGTCCTTCCAAGGACAAAAGCAATTTAATTGGCACCATCTGCAAAAATTATGCCTTCTTCCTCTAAAGCTGACTTCCTTAGGAAATTTGAATGTTTACTATAGACAAGTAGGCTAACTCAAAACAAACCCGTCTCCCCTAAAGAACAGACTGCTCTGATAAACTGAGATTTTCTATACAGTCCCAATTATTCTTAAGAGAACCATAAAAGCAAGAACAGACCAGTTACTGGAAACAATTATCTGCTGGACATAGAACAGAGGTTCCCAAACCTATGTTGCCTACAGCCTACGATGGGGGTGGGGGGGGGGGAGGGCGGGGGATGAACCACTCAGTGCCCTCTTGGAAATCGACCTTCTTTAGGTAAATAGACAGAAAGCACCAGCCATTTGCATACAAGGCTACTATTTCTTCCCCAGCCTCTGTGAGAGACAGTATCTCCCACTATGAGAAACACTAAATAGAAAAGTCTCTGGAGACATCAGGCAAGCAGCACAAAGCTGAGGGTCACAAGAAAGAGATGCTTCCTCAGATGCAACTCCCAGTAAGCAGCTTCACATGCTGCATAAATCCTGACCCAAAGTCCTCCTAGAGGATTCTTTGCTATTTCCAGTCAAGGTTAGATATAAAATTATAATGTTTTAAAAGTACCATCTGCTTTCAACATGCATCTCCCATCCTGAAAGTAGCCTATGGACCGAACATGATTGCCACTCAATGCCTCTTTTGCAAACACCCAAAAAGAGAGAGAAAACAAAAGGGAATGCCCTGCCACAGAGGCGGAGGGGGGGGCCGGGGGGGGGGGGGAGATATTGGGATACATGGTGGTGGAAAATGAGCACTGGTGGAGGGATGGGTATTTGATCATTGTATAATCGAAACCCAAGCACAAAGATTTGTAAGTCTACAACTGTACCTCATGGTGTTTCACTAATAAAAATATATTTTAAAAAAAAGTACCATCTGATTTAGTGTAAACATACCAACCGATATGGGGAAGTGCTGTTGATCTTAAACATGCCATCCTTAAATATCCAAATGTAATGTAAATGTAAATAACAATTTACATAGAGTTAATTGAAAAGACACTAACAGTAACAAAAAGACGGCCTACCTTCCTGGACTCAAACACCCAATGGCTTTTTCCATCTTCATCAATATGATTCCACCAACGCAGACCAACCATTAATCTACCTGTGACATTCTGACAAACACACAAATTTCAAAGGCATTACTTAATGACTTATTCTATGTCTTAGTGTTTCAACAAACAAAAGTCTTCAGCATTGTCTTCATTAACAGTCAGATAATGATCATCTACAAATCCAGCAGATTTGGTAGTGACAAGGTAAGTATATTTTATAAACATGACCCTTCACTTTTTCCTGGTGAAATCATAAAGGTAAAGGTAAAGGCCCTCCCGTTGATCGTCGATTTGCTCGAGCGGGCCCAGTAACGTCTCCATTGGAGACTTTGTTGTTACTGTGTCTGGCATATCGAATACTCTCGGTAGCTTGCTGGGCTCTCCGAGAGGGGCGGAGGAATCGAACACGGGTCGACCACGTTGGCCGCTTGTAAGGCGAATGCCCTACCCGCTGTGCTATCGCTCCAGCCCATATCATATCCTTTCTCTAATTCCTTAAATACTTTGCTCTTTAATTTACTGGGAGTTTTTTCTCCCTCTACTCCTATGACTGCATCCTCACTGACTCCAAAAATGGTTGTTATGAACTGAATATTTGTGTCTCTTTTTTGTTCATGTTGAAACTCTGCCTAGCTCCATACGATAAAACTATTAAGAGATGGAATGTGGGACCAGAGATGTAATATAGTACAGTGGATAACGTATTTGCTTTGCACACATCTGACCCAAATTCAATCCCCAGCATCCTATACTCTCCCCTGAACTCACAAGAAGTGATCCCTGAGCAGAGTCAGGAGTCCCTAGGCACCACTGGGTGTGTACGCCATCCCCCTACCCCCACCCTGACAGAAAAAAATAAATAAAGAGATGATTACCATTACATCTAGAAGTGTCAAGAGAGGGCTTGTTTCTTTTAAACTCCCTACCCCACCACCACCAAGCAAGTATACAGAAAGTTAGCAATTTGAAATACATAAGGCTCTCACCAGAAGTCAATCATACTGACACCCCAATCTTGGAAATAAATTGAGAAATAGATTCCTGTTATTTATAAATCACCTATCTATGGTACTATTATAACATTCCAAACTTACTAACACAATAGTTCTGGGCACAGTCCTTCATCGGTATCACACATAAGCAATTTCTTTTTCTTACTAATGTAACTTTAATAGCTTTCCTGTGTATTTCAATGTGCTGGTAATAAAACAGTGTCTAACAAATACATCTTTCTCCCAATGAAATTTCAAGTGTACTGTGTAGAAGAAGCTAACAAAAAAGGCAAAATGCACTATTACCAACTGTGTTATAAGGGAAAATGGAAGTTACCTTAATAGGCTTCCAGGGAAATTAAATTTAATCTTTGAGTAAGATAATGACTCCCTGGTGAATAAACATTTGGAATGAAATTTAATGGGTACACAGGAATCAGTAACACAGGAAACTTTTCATTAATGCTGTGGAGTAACATACTGGAGCTAATGTGAATTCAGATAGGCAAAAAGAAAAAAAAGTTTTTTCCTAACTGCTGGATGAAATTTAGAATATATTTAACTTATAAATGTAAACGATGAACCATAAGTAAAGTAAGTAAAGGCCCTCCCGTTGATCGTCGATTTGCTCGAGCGGGCCCAGTAACGTCTCCATTGGAGACTTTGTTGTTACTGTGTCTGGCATATCGAATACTCTCGGTAGCTTGCCGGGCTCTCCGAGAGGGGTGGAGGAATTGAACTCGGGTCGGCCATGTTGGCTGCGTGCAAGGCAGACGCCCTACCCGCTGTGCTATCGCTCCGATGAACCATAATAAAATTAATAATATCCATAACTCTACAATAAAAACAGTAATTTTCATATTGTACTATGATACGGATATCACAAAATACTGTTTATGATTATCACTGCTTTGAAAGTAATCAGATGTGCTGTTAGATCATGGGATTTAACACATTTGTAAAGTATATACTATTGTAGCACTGTCCTCTCCTTGTTCATTGATTTGCCCAGGGCACCAGTAACATCGTCTCCATTGTGAGACTTGTTGTTACTATTTTTGGCATATTGAATACAACATGGGGAGCTTGCCAGGCTCTGCTGTGGGGGCAGGATACCAGATACTCTCGGTAGCTTGCTGGGCTCTCTGAGAGGGATGGAGGAATCGAACCTGGGTCAGCCACGTGCAAAGCAAACAAACGCTCTACTCGCTGTGCTATCGCTCCAGGGCTGGAGCGATAGCACAGCGGGTAGGGCGTTCGCCTTACAAGCGGCCAACATGGCCGACCCGAGTTCGATTCCTCCGCCCCTCTCGGAGAGCCGGGCAAGCTACCGAGAGTATTCGATATGCCAGACACAGTAACAACAAAGTCTCCAATGGAGACGTTACTGGGCCCGCTCGAGCAAATCGACGATCAACGGGAGGGCCTTTACCTTTATATACTATTACCAAATTAAAAAATTTTTTAATGTTCTAATTATGTTTCACTATAAATGCTTTCTTTATAATCTTAATTCTTTTATGTTTTAAAAATATTCAGCTTGTGATTCTTATTACTACTGATTTTGTCCTTGAAGCAAATAAAACAAAAAGGTGAAAAATAAATAACAGAAGCATCATTCATAATTTTGTAGGATTGTGAAAAATCTACAACTAACAAAAAAGATTAATAATCCTCTTTTATAATGGTGCAGGAGGCAAAAGAACATATCAGATGAAGTACTGGATGAGAAAAAAGAAAATAAAATCTGTGGGTTTAATGGGATTTGATTGAATAATTAGATACGGGGTAAGAAGAAGGTATCTCACCCATCCTGGTCTGCTCAACTAAAAATAATGCCACACTCTATGAAAGGAAAATGCTGATGGGGGAAGAGCAGCATTTGGGGCTAGAGAAGGACAAGGAATATTTTTTAGCTGAATCTGAAGTGCTTTCAAGATAGTAAAGTAAAAATATCACGAAGACGTAGAGGTAGGTCTGAAGCTGTGAGGACCAATATGCAGTAGAAATACAGGTCCAGAGACAATCTAGCTTTAGGGTAAGCAATCAAAATCAACTATGATAGATACCATTTAGAAAAGGATTATAGAGAGAAGGATTATAGAGAGAATGGATTATATAGAGAGGGCTGGAGCGATAGCACAGCGGTAGAGCGTTTGCCTTGCACACAGCCGACATGGCCGACCCGAGTTCGATTCCTCCGCCCCTCTGGGAGAGCCCGGCAAGCTACCGAGAGTATCTCGCCCGCACGGTAGAGCCTGGCAAACTCCCTGTGACATATTCGATATGCCAAACACAGTAACAACAAAGTCTCCGATGGAGACGTTACTGGGCCCGCTCGAGCAAATCGATGATCAACAGGAGGGCCTTTACTTTACTTACTATAGAGAGAAAAAGAGAAAGACTTGAGGATAAAATTCGCATTGTAGAAATGTTAACACAAAAGAATAGCAAAAGAGAAAAGCTGAAAAAGATGACCAAGATTTATAGGCATATTCAAAAAACAGCTCTTGGAGTATTTTCAAAATCTTCATTATCCTATTTTCCAATTCTTTAGTAGTTTTGCTATTTTCTCAAGCTCATTGTTTTTGAAACTCTCAGATCACTGTCTAACAATAAAAGTCTCTAGTGTATGTTGAAATGTTTGTGTCTAAAACTCAAATATCACTACTTTGTAAATCACAGTTCTTTAATTAAAAAAATAAGTCTCTGGTCTATTGTTTTTCCTCTAGATTCAACCTTAAGATACATTCTCATGTAACACTCATCTGTCAGGTTTATTAGAGTCCTAACACCTTCTCAAAGCTCGAGTGCCGATGATCACTGTAATCATGACTAAGTAACAGAGAGACTGGGAGAGATCTGACTGAAAGGCATAGAACAAGGTCTTCAAAGCTGGAGGTCTTGAGTTTGGAGGTCATTATCCTGGTATCATGTACCACTCCCCACAATACCATCAAGTATAGTTCTAGTTGTCCTAAATACTGTAATACATATATGATATATAATTGTTTATTACAATATAGTACATAATAATTTCGGGCTGTAGCATGAAAATAACATCAGATTAAGTGTTGCTGGACTCTTGAGCACCAACAAGAAGGTGATTTCCTCCTTGCCCACAAAAACAATGGACAGAAGTATCTACAACTGCAACTTTTGTTTGCAACTTTTGTTTTCTTTTCAAGATATCTAGTACCAATTCTGAAAACTCTTTTAACTTCTAGCTTTGTTACAGTGGTCTAGTAAACACAGCTACTTTGTACAATTTACTTGGATTTTCTTCACAAAGATATTTAATCAATTTTTGAAAATGTTCTATAGAACAAGACTTTATCTTTATACATGTAAGTTCTAAACACTGCTCAACTAACACAATTAAATGGACCATATTATTCCATTTGCTCCTTTAGATTGTCATTTACATAAATGTATTATTTTGTCACTGGTCTCTCAAGGCCGGATTTATTAGAGTCTTATTACAATGACATTTCTTCCATATTCTCATAGGGTTTTACTATAGTTCTAGCATATAACTAGTGTTATATTATAGTTTGATATAGCAACATTCTGTGAATGATCCTATGATTCATAAAATAACCTATCTTGATCCATTTAATCCTGCCTACTATCACTTCTAGTTTGCATGACAATATAAAGATGCCATGTTTCTTTTTATTTTAATTGCTCTGTTTCTTTGTCATCATTTATGTTTTGCTGATCATTGTTTTTTGGTGGGCCACACCTGTCTGTGCTCCAGGTTTACTGATGGCTCTATACTAAGGAATCATTCCTGGCAGGGCTGGGGGACCATTTGCACTGTTAAGGTTCAAACCAGGGTCAACTGCTTGCAAGGCCTTACATAACCTTAGTACTAGCTCTCAGACCCCTGATTATTATTTTAATTTGATGCTTTTGGCTGGATTTTTTATTTTTGGTTCAATCTTAAATGATTATCTTTTATAAGTTTATTCAAATTACACTTATTACTATAACTAAATACTTGTACTTATAATATTGCTTTTCTTTTTCTTGCTATATAAACTTTTTAGGTTGTTCCTATCTTTTTAATCTTGTAGAAAATACACTTCTTTTAAATTTTAGTAGCTACCGTTAAAATTTTTGAAAACTGTTAATCTTTTTGAAAACCGTATTTGTCATAATAAAAACAAAGTATGATATAGGATACACCATGTAAAAACACTTTTTAAAATATCCTCCTCCCCTCTACTTGGTCTTTGTTAATTATCAATTAGGGCATTAGATAAAGATTGCCTTTCAAAAACATTTTTTTAAAAAAATAATTATATTTTTTGACAACTCCACTGAGATTTACAAATATCACATCTCTATTCTAACTACTTTCAGAATCCTGTCTCCCATCTTTACCAGATGTACTTAGTAATTTCCCCATTGATGATTTCAATTTAATTCCTATCTAAATTACTTGGACATCTATAAGTAATACTAATAATAAAATGATGGCATTTTTAAGCTCTTAGTTTCAAAAGTCTGAAGGTTATCAGGCAAAATTAACTGTCTGAAGACCACATTCTTTACTGCAATACAGAAATTACATGAACAAAAACAACATTCTTCAAAACAAAATTTGTAAACAAGAACCAGTAATATACATGTCTCTGAAATTCCAAAGTCAGTTTTTGTTTTGTTTTGCCTTTGAGTTTCTTCTCCACCACTTTCACTATGAAAAAAACTCAACACACAAAGTCAAATTTTACAGTTAATACCCATAAATGCATACCTGGAGTACACAGTATATTTTGTTATTTTGCTATAGCTGCCTTATCATATAGCTATCAATCTATATATCAATCCACCTACCTCTGTACCCATCATTTATAATATCTGAGTTTGAAGCTATTCCTTACACTCCTTTCTACACTCTTATAGCAGGATTTCCGAAATTAAGAACTACTAATATTTGGGGGATTTCTGAAACTAAGAACTACTAATTACTACATGTAATTCTTTGTTGTAAGGAGTTATCTTGTCTACTTAAAATTTCTGGCAGCAGTCCTGCTACCTAATGAGTGACACTACCACTTCCACCACCTCCAACTGTGACTAATGAGGCAAAATTGGACAGACTGAGAATCACTTCCCTAAAGTATACAAAGGAGCCTTTGCAAATTCATTCTTTGTGGACAAAGTATCCTGGGCTATCTAAAAATTATAAAGACATATCTAGAGGTGGCCGTAAAGCAAAAACCAATGGTGCAGACAAGAAACTATCCATAGAATAAGGAACTGCTAGTCACCATCTGTTGATTTAATTTCAAAACTGATGCAAACTGACAAAAAGCACAAACAAGTCAGTGATAATAACCAACAAGTGGTGTGTTAGGCTGGAGACTTTAACATATACGTAAGCAGAAATGAAGTCCACAGTTAGAAAAAAACAGGCAACACCAATCCAAACTGCTTTGTCATATTATTTCACTTCATATTTACGTTAATTTCATATTAAATATATTTTTAAAATAAAAACAAACCTACCTTGACAGCCCAAAAGTCACATGACAACAATAAGATAATTGTCACCATACAGGCAATAAAGCTGCTGCTGAACAATTCACTGAGAAGATAGACTATAATTGCACTGATGCGAAAGAATAAATGGAAAAATGATGCCACTGGGTGTCTGAAAACCAAAACATAATAAAAGAAATGCAATTACACTTGCTATGGGTACTGCAGATGTAGATGAAAAATGTTTCAGGCACAGCATAACCATGCAGTTTTGTACAAAATAATGTATGACTCAAGAAAGAAGTAAACTGCCTACCTCTTTTTTTTTTCAAAAGTCCCAATATTTGACTAGGCCCTGTTATTACAGAAAATACACTATGTAAACACGATTTTAACTTCTGTATTAATTTCAAAAAAATATAAGAAACCTTAGCAAGCATGTAAAAGAAAAGAAACAATACTCTTAGAATTTTAATCCCATTTCCACCTGTTCAAAATTATCCCAAAATAATGTCTAGGCTCTCAGAAATCACTTTTGGCATTAAAAAAAAAAAAAGCACCAGCAAATAGTTTGTTTTTAGTTTGCGGTGGGGTTTGTTTTGTAGTACAGGATGCTGTTTTGTTTTGTTGTCACACCTGGCATTACTCAAACTTAGTACTGGTGCTGGGCTCAGGGATCAATCCTGGGGGAGTTCGAGGAACATATGTCGTACCAAGGATTAAATATATATATATCGATTTGCCAATTTGAACCCTTCACATAAACGAAATCAAACAATACGTGATCTTTCGTGATTAGCATACCTCACCCTAACATGTTTTCAAAGTTCAGGCAGAACTGAATTTCTTCAAAAACAATTAAATTTGGAGTAGGAATATACTTTGCTTGATGCTTTTATATTAATTTACAAGATGCAATTCTGGGGCCGGAGAGACAGAATGGGGGTTAAGGCACTTGCCTTGCCTGCAGTCAACTCTGGATTAATTCCTGGCACTGCATATGGTCCCCTGAGCACTGCCAGGATGATCCCTGAGTGTAGAACCAAGCAAAAATAAGCCCTAAGCACTGATGGGCATGATCCAAAAACAAATGAAATGCAATCATCGTCTCAAACAAAAAAACTAGCAATACCACAACATTTACAAGCATATCACAACTACTCCATCTTGAAGCACATCACAACTGCTCTATCTGGAATCCCATCTGTCTACAGACAGAACAGCAATGGATACTAACACAACTCCATAAACTAGCTTCATACCTGATTTTGGATTTTTTTGGTCTATCAGTAGCCTCCTCTTCAGCATCAAATAGTGAAACATCTTCAGTATCATCATTACTGTCCTAATAGGAAAATAAAACATCCATGACGTAAAACAAAATTCAGTATCTGCCCACCCACCCTATGCAATCAAAATGAAGGATGCTAATCAAAATGGAAGGCAAATGAAAACATGGTCAAAGGGGGATTCACCACCGCTGGAAAGGCCTTGCAATTCCACCACCCTCAATCACCTGGCAAAATAACTCATGAAAATCCTCTACCCTTACCCAAGTAGCACTGTAGCACTGCCCGCCCATTGTTCATCGATTTGCTCAAGCGGGCACCAGTAACATCTCCATTGTGAGACTTGTCATTTGTTTTTGGCATATCGAATATCCCACAGGGAGCTTGCCAGGCTCTGCCATACCCTTACCCAAGTAGCTGAACTTTCTGAGAAAATCACCAAGAATACAGATTATCAGCCTAAAACTTTGCTGGGAAAGTTTTAAGTGGGAATTCTCACACAAGACAGCTGAAACAGGAGGGATACACCTAATATTTCTAGCTCTACCACAAAATCCTCTTCGGCAGTTCTATTTCCCTGACCCCTTACACACATCTCCTTCTCTTTTCATTCAATGCTAAACCAACTGCATTTGGACTTCCCTCTTTTTCTGTCTTCCGAGGGCCATGTTCCATCACTTTTTTTCCTTTATTCACACTTCTGTATCTTTGAGTCTTTCTAATGGGTCTTTCTAATCAGCATATAAATTTCTTCAGGTGTCATTTATTGCTTCAGAGTTACCTTTTTGCATATAAACTTCTTTAGGTATCATTTCATGCCCTAAAAACTGTCTTTATTTTTTAACACTGATCCTCTTCTTCTACAATCTACTTTCCCTTCCACAGCATTCCTTCCTTTCATGACCTAACACCCTTAAGGGTCAATTCACTACATTCTGACAATAAATCCATAACAATAAATTACTTATACCTTTACTAGTTTCAATGGGCTGGAGCAATAGCACAGCAGGTAGGGCATTTGCCTTGCACACAGCCGGCATGGCTGACCAGAGTTCGATTCCTCCGCCCCTCTCTGAGAGTCCAGCAAGCTACCAAGAATATCTATCTCGTCTGCATGGCAAAGCCTGAAAAGCTCCCCGTGACGTATTCAATATGCCAAACACCTAACAACAAAGTCTCACAATGGAGACATTACTGGGCCCACTCGAGAAAATCAATGAACAATGGGAGGACAATAGTGACTAGTTTCAATTACTTCTCAGTCTCCCATTCTGTATCTCTACCCTCACCCCAGTCCTATTCAACCCTCCCATTATCCAAAGCAATCTTCCTAACATGGAAATCAAACCCCCTCACTGCTCAAACTTTTTAGTGGTGCTTCTACATGTACAGCATAAAATAAACTGTCACTTTTACTTATAGCAGCATTGGAGATTTCATGGTCTGATTATTTACTACTTTCCTTCTGATTCTCATCAAACCCTGTGCTCCCAGGACACTGCAGCAATACCGTTAATATCGTCTCTGTAAACACCATGAGCTCTCTCATATTTCTGCCTTGCCCAGAGGCTCTTCCCACGACCATCAACTACACAGCTTTTCATTAGGAAATTATATCTTCTTTCAAATTTTGGCTCAAATACTACAAGAAGTGGTAAACTTTCCCAGAAATCCTGAAGCCTACCATTACCATTTTTCATATTCCCATACTTGAAGAGATGGCCATTTGAAAAGTGATTTCGAGGAATTCAGAATGCATTTCTATTTCATTGCATTGAACTAAATCCTAGTGTCTACCAAAGTACCAGTCAAGAGGAGGAACAATATTTGTTGAAGGCATGAAAGAATAAACAAGGCAATTTCCCGTAATATAAGGCAGACTATTATAGGTGCCAGAATAATGCTAAATGCAATGACAACACAGGAAAAGAAGTGTCATTTTTACCAGAAGGCTCTAGAAAAGTTTCCTAGGGCTAATGAATTTGTTCTTATAGTGCAAGTAGGCCTCCTGATCCCAAAACTTCTGTCCCAGGCAGTTTCTTTCAAGGATGAAGATGCTAAAGACATCCTCTGAATATTTGGGTATTTGTAAGTCAGAAAGATGTAAAGACGTGAGCCATGAAGCTGAAAAAGTGCTGATAAATGAAAACTGAATCAGGAGAGGATGGTGTAAAGGGAAGGAAGTTTCCAGAAAAGGAGATCCATTTCACTCTATCAAGGGCCACTGCTCCCAGGAGTAAAATGAACATCAAAAAGTTCAACAGAGAGCTGGAGCGATTGCACAGCGGGTAGGGCGTTTGCCTTGCACGTGGCCAACCTGGGTTCGATTCCCAGCAACCCATGTGGTCCCCTGAGCACCGCCAGGAGTAATTCCTGAGTGCATGAGCCAGGAGTAACCCCTGTGCAACGCCCGAGTGTGACCCAAAGAGCAAAAACAAAAAAGTTCAACGGTTCCTAGTGATAAGTGATATCAATAAACAATTTTCAGAACCTGTTCACAGCCAGAAGAAAGCATCTGATAGACACAATGGGAAGATTAAAAAAACAAACAAACAAATATAACTATAAAAAGCATGTGGTGAGGGGTGCTTATTTTTCAAGACGGAAGTTCAAGCATCTTTATGCTTATGTGAATAAGCTTCAAAAGGGCCAGAGGAGGAATAAGGCATCAGAGAAAAGTGAGAACGGCTGAAAGCTTGGCAGGCAGCATTCAAGGCTCACTTAAGGTTCAAACAGAAGATCATTATGGTTTCTGTTTCTTCTCCAGCCTCTTTCAGCCTGTTCACAGGTACAGAGTGCTGACCTGAACTGTCATTTAGTTTTATCCACTCAGGTCACCTCCTCAAGAGTGCCTTCTGACCCTAGATCTTTAGACTGCCCTGGTGTCAGTACATCAAGTTGCCTTTGCTTTCGTTATTTATTTATGTAACGTACCAGGTCTCCCCATCCTGACCGGTTGACAAGCTAGCTCTAATTCAGACAACTATTAAAGACAAGAATTGGTCTTGTATAAGTGATGAACAGCCCTGTCCTAGGTCTAGAATTATACCTGAACCACAGTAACTCCCCAATAAGGGAAAAGAAAAAAAAAAATCAAATCATGAACGTAGGATAACCTAAGTGAAAGTGGGCTATCAACAGCAAGTTGGTTTTTTTTTTTTAATTTAACATTTTGCGTTTTAATGAAGTCACCATGAATTACAAAGTTATTCACCACTGGGTTTCAAGAATACAATGTTTCAACAGTGATTCCTTCTCCCACGCCCCTTTCCCTCATCAAGGCGCCCCCTTCCTCGGCCACCCATACGTGCCCCGTTGACAGGCACTTTCTGATTTGGACACTGGGATGCCAGCACGGCTGCCAGGAGGGCTGATGCCCAGCACGCCTGACCTCCCAGCTTCCAGCCCCCTCTGCTGGAGTGGATGGACCCCCCGCCCCAACACCGCGGTCCCAGGGTGCCCGGCCCGGCCCACTCCACCCAGGCTCCGCTCCCCGGGACTTGATCTCAAGTTCCTGCGGCCTTTGGCCACCGCCTCTCCCTTGCCGGACAGAAAGAAACAGGACAGTGCGGTGACAAATCCCCTGAGCACTTCAGCTTCCAAGTTTAGGCGACTGAGTCACGTTTACTGATCCCACCGACGCTGGGCACGAACGCGGCCTTCACGGATACCCGCACGGTCCGCACCGAGTGACCAGCCGCCCTGGCCGGCCCGGAGGACGCGCCCCCGCCCACCCCCACCCCGAGTCCGGCCTGCGCGCGGAGACCACCCACGGCCCCCTCCGCCCCGGCCGGTGGGGAGGACGCGCCCCAACAACGCCCAGCCCGCGCCCCCGAGCCCACAACCCCTCACCTGCGGCAACATGACGGACGCGCGCAGCCCTACTTCCGGGGGCCACGTCAGCTTGGCGGCCGGCGGGTGGGGCTGGCGCCGGGGCGGCCGCGGCCATTCACCGGACCGGGAGGAGCCGAGCGGCCGCGGCGTCGGTCCCCACTTCCGCTTCCCGGCCCGGGCTGGGCTCTCCGGAGTCGGGGTCAGAGAGCGGGCGGGGCGGGACTTCCGGCTGGGTTCCCCGAGTCGATAGGCGGAGGACCACGCCGGGTTTGAAGTGTGGGGCGGGGCTACGGAGGCCCGGGCGGCCCTAAAAGAGCCGGAACGCGAGGGGCCTGCGGCGCCGGCTGGCAGAAGTGGGCGTGAGATGAGGTTTGAGTAGCATTGGGGGACCTGCTGGCAAAAAAAAGTAAGATGAAGGTGGAGGGATGGGTATTTGATCATTGTCTAATTGAAACCCAAACACAAAAATTTGTAAGTCTACAACTATACCTCATGATGTCTCACTAATAAAAATTTAAAAAAATAAAATAAAATAAACCAACAGAAAAAAAAATAGCAAACAATGCAGACCATGTCATGGAAAGAGATTGGCCGCAGAAAACCGTCAAGAATAGATAGAGAAGGTGAGACTGGGAGTTTGAGAGTGGAAGGGGTGTGAAAATCTAGATTCACCATCTCCCCTTACCAATTATCTAACTTTTTCCTCGGTTGTGAAGTGGGAATGCTAACAAGAAAGGTCAGTTGCTCTCCGGATGGAGAGCCAATCTGAGAGCCAACCCGTTACATCTGAGAAAGCTCTTTTGACAATGATAAAGCTGACTTAGATCGAGTTTGTAACTGATTAGGTACACAGATTTAAGCAACTGGTTAGGTTGCTGCATTCCCCCAGAGGATATTGGAGCCGAGCCACCTTGCAGTAATGGGTAATATGGCTGGGTCGACCAAGAATAGAAATAAGTACCAGGAGGTTTACTCCATGGCTTGGAGGCCAGCTGCACATGCTAGGGGAAAAGGCAGCTGAGATGGAGAAGGGAGCACCAAGTAAAGGGTGTTGGGAGGATCCTCCCAGGATGGGAGAAGCGTGCTGAAAGTAGACTATAGACCAAACATGATTGCCACTCAGTGTCTCTTTTGCAAACCACAGCACCCAAAGAGAGCGAACAGAGAGAAATGCCCTGCCACAGAGGCAGGGAGGGATGGGGAGGTTGGGGGGATAGAGGGTGGGAGGGATACTGGGATCAGTGGTGGTGGAGAATGGGCACTGGTGGAGGGATGGGTACCCCATCACTGTATAGCTGAAACCCAAGCACAAAAATTTGTAGGTCTACAACTGTACCTCCAGGTGTTTCACTAATAAAAATTTTTTTAAAAAATGACTGGGTCGAATGTCTGGGACAAAATTGAGGGTCTTAAGGGAGGCTAAAAGGCAGCCCAAGGGGGAGAGGGACTTACCACGAAGCTTACTGAAAACCAGATGAACATGTGAAGGTAGGCTGAAGGTCCCTCCCAGGAGAGAACGAGCTGAACCCATACTGCCCACAAGATCCCAGGACGGCCAGTCAACTCCAGGCCGAGAGCCCAGCAGAAACGGGAGTCCCGGAAGGAGGGTCGTCCAGGCCCCAAAGGATGAAGGGGAAGGTGTGGCTAGGGAGCAGAGGAGACAGCTCAGGGGAGCAGGCTGGGGGTAGCGGGGCAGGAGCAGAATGTCACGAGTGCAGAGAACTTGGAAGGTGAGCCAGAGTGGAAGAGAGAGGCACAGCATAGTTACAAATACTTATAGTTTTGATGAATGAAGTTGATGCATAGCTATGCTATTGAAGTACCCGAGACCCTTAGTACTGGCTTTAGGTCACTTCTAGTCTGCCTTTGTCTTCACCTACCAACTCTCTGCACTCTTCAGTAGTCTCAGTTCTGTATACCAAGACCAATGGTTTTCTGTCATTTGATACTGTCCATTCCCTTGTTTAGTTTCCCTGTGTAACACGTATGAATGAGATCATCCTGTCTTTGTTCTTTTCCCCTCTTGGTTTATGTTTCACATCACGGTAGATTTCATCTGCGGACATAGCTGCATAGTATTCCATTGTGTACATATACCAACTTGACCTTTTTTTTTTATTTTTATTAGTGAGACATCATGAGGTATAGTTGTAGACTTACAAATTTTTGTGCTTGGGTTTCAATTATACAATGATCAAATACCCATCCCTCCACCAGTGCCCATTTCCCACCACCATGAATCCCAGTATCCCTCCCCCCATCTCCCCCATCACACCCTGCCTCTGTGGCAGGGCATTCCCTTTTGTTTTCTCTGTCCTTTGGGGTGCTGTGTTTTGCAAAAGAGGCAATGGGTGGCAATCATGTTTGGTCTATTTTCTCTCTTTTAGATTGCACTTATTTTATAAGCATTTCAAACTCTTTCTATACCTTATAAAAATATAGAGGCAATAAGTTTAAAAGTCCCAACACTAGGAAATAAAATTATATTCTTAAGAAACATGTCAAACCTCTCTCTATAAATTAAGACAACGTAGGTCTTGTAATAACGTGAACTATTATCCACATAAATCATCATAATAAACAATTATATGTTCACATAATTTTATTTTAAAAAGCACTATAGCACTGTCATCCTGTTAATCATCGATTTGCTTGAGCAGGCGCCAGTAACGTCTCCATTTTCCCCAGCCCTGAGATTTTAGCATCGTAAACTTTATGCCCTCTCTCCGCAGATGTGGCACGCCAGTTGGATGTCCTTGGGAATAATGGTGACGCGCTTGGCGAGGATGGTGCAAAAGTCGGTATCCTCGAAGAGCCCCACCAGGTAGACCTCACACACCTCTTGCCGAGCCATGACAGCCGAGCTCTGGGAGCGCAGGTCAGTCTTGAAGTCCTGTGCGATCTCGCTCACCAGCCCCTGGAACAGCAGCTTGCAGATAGGCAGCTCGGTGCGTTTCTGATAGCGGCGAATCTTACGCAGCACCACAGTGCCAGGCCAGTAGCAGTGTGGCTTCTTCACGCCACCCATGGCTGGCATGCTCTTGTGGGCCATACCTTGGTGGCCAGCTGCTTGTGGGATGATCTCTAATTGTCCCTGCAGGTGGTCCCAGTCTAACGAATGTAAGCTCCTGGTGACTGGCCTGCTGTAACAATTTGCGCACTAACAACACGCACCTGCTTGCATCTCTGGGCAGTGCCTGGGGCATCTGCAGCCTCAGGTAGATCTCCTCAAGGTGGATGGAGTGCGCCCAGAGGTCGTTGAATAGCTGGCAGGGCAAGACCCCATCGCACAGGGTCTGTGCCAGGTCGAACACCTGCACCGAGTCCCAAGTCACTCAGTGGTTGGTGAACAGAGTCCTGCAGTGGATAAGCCACTGCGCGTGCTACTGTCACTGTTCCATGCTCGATGGTGCTGTGACTTGGCCCGGCCGGGGGAGGCAGTGATGCTGCGGCGGCCGCCACGGTTTTTCCTCACGTGGCTGATGCCATTCTGTCTTCATCCCACAAAGCAGCCGATGATGTCCAGCAGGAATCATGCGCAGAGTTCCAGCAAAGATCACACACGGAATTCCATGGCTGGCGTGCTGAGTCGCGCATCATCCAGAGCGAGATGGTGAGCCGGGTTCAGGACAGCGTGAGGGGCTTGACTGGCGGCTGCACCATCTGGCCTCTTGCCTCTCACAGCGGTAGGGCATTTGCCTTACAAGCGGCCAACATGGCCGACCCGAGTTCGATTCCTCCGCCCCTCTCGGAGAGCCCGGCAAGCTACTGAGAGTATTCGATATGCCAGACACAGTAACAACAAAGTCTCCAATGGAGACGTTACTGGGCCCGCTCGAGCAAATAAAAAAAAGACTTTAACAAAATCAGTATCCACTTATGATGCAAATGTAACATTTTAGAAAGAACTAATCATCTTCAATATGATAAAAAAAGTAACTATTCAGAACATCGACTTGTATCATGTAGGAATAATTTTTTTAAAAAGAGGGTACCACGGTAGAATTAAAATTGCCACCATTCATCAATGTGCTGGAGCAATAGCACAATGGGTAGGACATTTGCCTTGCACGTGGCCGACCTGGGTTCGATTCCTCTGTCCCTCTCAGAGAGCCGGCTAGTTACCGAGAATATCCCGCCCGCACGGCAGAGCTTGGTAAGCTCCCGGTGGTGTATTTGATATGCCAAAAAAAGTAACAACAAGTCTCACAATGGAAATGTTACTGGTGCCCACTCAAGCAAATCGATGAGCAATGGGAAGACAGTGCTACCATTCATCAATAATTAATCAAAAACTAACAAAATAATCCAGTATGGATAAGTGATTCAACAAGATCCGGAACCCAAAGATCAATATAGTAATTCTCTCTCTCTCTCTCTCTCTCTCTCTCTATATATATATATATATATATACATATATATATACACACACACATATATGTTGCTATTCTAATAAGGTTACTATATTTAAAATTTTATGTGTTCTCTGTATTTTAGTATATTTAACAGTTTATATGTATGTACATATCCATCTGTCATATCTACACATACATATATACCTATTTGTATTTTTAGAAAATATTTCTTTTAGCTTACATGGCCCAAAAACATTAGTTACAGAGGTTTGTTATCATTCAGATGCTATTTTCTCAAATATCAGAATACAGGGACAGGGGGCAGCCGAGTGGCTGAAGCTGAAAGAACCTTTGGAACATAGCTTTCTGGGAAGATAGAAATATTTTGCTGCTTTTGGACCACTCCTGGGTGATACTTAGGGTCTACTCCCCAGTGTCGGGTTCTGGGGTCTTTTCCACTGGTGCTTAGGAATCATGTGGTGCAAGAGATTGCGTCCTGGTCTCTTGCATGCAAAGCATGTGCTTCAGTCCTTTGAACGATCTCTGGTCCAGGAAGATAACATTTTATAGGAGGGCAATCAGTATTTATCTCAAAGTTGGGTTTGATGCACCTAATATCTTTAGTTCTTATCTGAGAATATTTTTATCCTGCCCTCAAATTTGAATGACAGTCTAGCATAGTAAAGGACTCTAGGTTGAAGGTTTTCTTCATTCCGTGCTCTAGATAGGTTATTCATTCCCTTCTTATCTGTATTCATGTGAGAGCTCTGGAGTAAATTTTGTATTGCATTCCTTGCATTTGAGG